TTTTAAAACATGATAATCTGCAATTCTAACTGAAAGAGACACATCCAGTTCCCCTACCGGTCTGCAGGACTGCTGGTCAAACCAAGCCGAAACCAGCTTCCTTACCTTCCCTGGTACGGCAACGCCAACTACCCGGGCGTAGGACAAGCAGACGGCGCCAAGGAATGGGTGTTGCATTCCCCCCATACGGGCTGACCTGCGAAGCCCAGGGCGGATGTCCGCTTCTGACAGCGCCTCTGGCAGAAGCTGCTGCTCCCAGCGCGCCATTCTGAGACGGTTCCCCATGGGATTTGCCCGGAATAGGTTAATGGAGCTCCCACAAGGCGCCCCGTTGGCTCTGCCACTGGCGGAGATGGCGAGGGAGTCACTGACCAATGTAGCCGACTTTTGCGGAAGCCCGTTGACCTGCCTGTTTGTTTTTACAGGTGCAGGTCTCCCTCGGGCAGAACGGGAGAATGCCATGCCGTTCACAGCACCGCCGGCAGCGCTGCTCACAGTACGAGCGCGTAGGGCAGGACGCACGCCCGACGCCCAGGACAAGGTTTAGCTGCCGTTCTACCTACCACCAACGGTAACGAGTCTGGGTTATCAAAGACTTACATGCAGGTGGGCTGCTTTTTCCACTGAACAAAGATATTTTCCATCCTTCGCTATCCAAAACTTTTTTCCAGCCTTACTCCTTCAAAATACACTTCATTAGCATCACTCAGTATCCACCTAAAAATACATGGAGTTACAGATATTTTGTATTCGGCAGAAATCATCCAGTATCCAAAACCGCTTGTAAAACACCACGTCAAGGTTTGCAAGACTGACTGCTCAGCAGCAACTTACACACCTAGTTGTGATTCTGTCTGAGCAGAAACTACCCATTAGCAAACCTTCCTCAGCAGGGAACTTCCCAGTGAATGTGCTCATTACCCTAAAATCCTATCAGCAACGACAAAACGTCTTTAACTGGGACAATCCAAGCTGCGCAGCTTGGGAACTCTGAGGTCTTAAAATATACTTCAATATACCAACATATACCCAATACAGAGAAATAGTAAAGGGAGTTTGATCTCTGTCTCTTGCCAGACTAGCACGATTATTTTCTGAAACCTCCCACGACTGAAAAATCTTGTGCGTTCGCAAAAAGGAAAGAAAATTTTTAATCTAAGAGAGCGTTTACAATATCCGAAGCAAACCTTAACATGCTTCTGAAGAGTTGGAAGACTTCATTACAAAAAATAAACACAACTCAACCTGTTCCAACTTTTATCTTCAAAACCAAGCAAAGAAACTCAGGAAAATCTCTATCAGCAGCTCTCCTTTCAATTTGCATCCAACTATCCCAATCTCCTTGCTAACGCTTCAGCTGAACATCATGTGTTACTCAGAACTCTTTAAAGCCAACGACATCCATGTCGGGGACATCAGAGACGTGCATTTCCTATCCCCATTCTCCATGTAGCTTTCCCTCCTCCCTTCTCTTTTTTCAAGGCCAAACCCAACCTTTAAGAATTCCGCTATGGTATTCAAATGATTGCACTGACCTATCTTTACAGAATATTAGAAAGAACATAAAGAAACCCTCTCTGAAAAAACATCAACTTACAACTGTCCTAATTTTTCCCGGATATTTATGCTAATTCATTAGAGTAACCACCTCCAGCAGG